GCCTTTTAGTATTTTAGCTTGTCTTTTGGTACTTTTAGCTTGTCTTTTAGTATTTTAGCTTGTCTTTTGGTACTTTTAGCTTGTCTTTTAGTATTTTAGCTTGTCTTTTGGTACTTTTAGCTTGTCTTTTGGTAGTTTTAGCTTGCCCTTTTAGTATTTTAGCTTGTCTTTTGGTACTTTTGGTTTGTTTTTTAGTATTTTAGCTTGTCTTTTGGTACTTTTAGCTTGTCTTTGGTATTTTAGCTTGTCTTTGGTATTTTAGCTTGTCTTTTGGTTCTTTTAGCTTGTCTTTTGGTACTTTTAGCTTGTCTTTTGGTACTTTTAGCTTGCCTTTTAGTATTTTAGCTTGTCTTTTGGTACTTTTAGCTTGTCTTTTGGTGCTTTTAGCTTGCCTTTTAGTATTTTAGCTTGCCTTTTGGTACTTTTAGCTTGTCTTTGGTATTTTAGCTTGTCTTTTGGTACTTTTAGCTTGTTTTTTGGTACTTTTGGCTTGTTTTTTAGTATTTTAGCTTGTCTTTTGGTACTTTTAGCTTGCCTTTTGATACTTTTAGCTTGTCTTTTGGTACTTTTAGCTTGTCTTTGGTATTTTAGCTTGTATTTTAGTATTTTAGCTTGTCTTTTATTAACTTTAGCTTGTTTTTTGGTATTTCAGCTTGTCTTTTTTGTACTTTTAGCTTGTTTTTTTAGTATTTTAGTTTGTCTTTTAGTATTTTAGCTTGTCTTTTGGTATTTTAGCTTGTCTTTTGATACTTTTTGTTTTAACAACTCAGTTTTAGCTTCTTCAGTAAGTTTCAGCTGTTATTCAACACTCTGCAGCAGATTTATTGTCACAGAAATAGCTTTCCGCCAGCGGCACCTAACCCTTTGTTATCGTAGAAGTTGCGGGTTAGAATCCAGGCCGTTATGATGGTTGTCGGGACACCTGCAGGAAACAAACACCAAGAGTCACAGCTGAGCTGAACGACCCGACCCGGACCGCACCAAAACGAGAGGGCGACCCACCCCAGCCGATGAGGATGTACCACCAGAAGTACTTCTTCTGGAAGACGAAGGTTAGCGCCAGCAGCGTCTGCAGGTACATCCCCTCCACCAGCAGCCAGAAGTAGTTGGCCAAAATACTGAACTGGAAAAAGGCCACGGCTGATTTACAGGCTGTCTGAGAAACAGAGAACAAAACGTCAGACTCGTAGAAAAGGTCAGTTTAACAGAGAACTCCTGCACTTTCATGATCTCCTCATTTGTTTTGCTCAAACTCCCTGAACCCCACCTCCATCTGGGTCTGAAGGGGTCCCAGAGAGTGCTGATGCTGCTCAGCTTCATCGGCAGAAACAGGAAGTGGAAGCCTCATCATTAGCGCTCTCAGCTCTCCTTCATTAGATAAAGGGTGCGTGAGGGTCCGGACTCACCGAGGACATGAAGCAGTGGTCCAGGTTCTCGTCAGAGAACAGAACCAGGTCTTTGATGAAGACGGCGCTCGCTCTCAGGATGAAGGAGAAGAACAGGTTGATGTGGATGTAGTTCCTGGTGCAGTGGAACTTCCTGTTTGAAAAACAACAAGGCATAAATAAAAATAATAAAAGAAGATGGTGCGTGAGGAAAAAATTTGAGAAAAATCTCGGGAATTCTGACAAAAATGAGAAATATGAACTGTTGGATTCTAAATAAGCCAGAAAAACAGTCACTTTTAGCTTGTAAAAAAATGCTTTTTCAAACTTTTAAGCTTCTGGCTTATAAAATAACCATTATTACTAGTTTACATATCCAAACTTTGCTAATAACTCTGTTAAACATGAGTGTAATCAGGGGCGGAGCCAGAGGGGTGGCCGGGGTGGCAAGRGCCACCCACACCTGGCACCCGATTGACCACCCCAAGACTTTTTATTTGCATTTATATTTTGTTAAAGATGTTCTCTGATACCACATAACTTTAAACATTTTCAGCTGTGTGTGCTTGAAAAACTTATAGCCATTTCTAAAATTAGCTTCATTTGGGATTAGCATTAACCATTAGCATGTGATCATTCTTAGCTACAACACAACAAATTTAATCTCAGTGAGTCTTAAAATAGTTGAATTATAGGTGTTTAAAGTTAGCTGTGGTGGCCATCTTGAATTTTTGATTATAATTTAAAATTTGATGAAGATTGTTTTTGGCTATTTCTACACTAACCTTTAGCTTCGCATGTCTAAAAATGACTGAATAATAGGTTATGATTAATGTTTAGGATGTTGTTTGGATCATTCTTAGCTACGATCACACAATATTTCAGCTCAATATTTCTTCAAACAACTGACATAAAGCCACATGGAATTAGCTGTGGTGGCCATCTTGAAATTTCAAATATAGGGTGCTTTTATTTATTTGTCTGTGCCCCCCGCTAAAAACACCTTGGGCACCACTTGTAAAAAAGCCTAGCTCCGCCCCTGAGCATAATAAGAATGTAAACAATCCTGAAAACTGTTTTGTTATTTTTTTATTCATTGCAATAAATGTGTTGAAAATATTCTATTAGATTAGTTTTCTTAACTTAATAATGTTAGTTTTTTAAATACAAATATGAGATGTGTATTTTGGTACTTTTAGTTTGTCTTTTGGTACCTTCAGCTTGTATTTTTGTACTGTTAGCTTGCATTTTGGTATTTAAGCTTGCATTTTGGTACTTTTATTTAGTTCTTTGGTATTTTTAGCTTGTATTTTGGTACTTTTATTTTGTCCTTGGTACTTTTAGCTTGTATTTTGGTACTCTAAGCTTGCATTTTGGTACTTTTAGCTTGTATTTTGGTANTTGGTACTTTTAGCTTGTATTTTGGTACTCTAAGCTTGCATTTTGGTACTTTTAGCTTGTATTTTGGTATTTTTATTTTGTCCTTTGGTACTTTTAGCTTGTATTTTGGTATTTTAGCTTGTATTTTGGTACTTTTTTGAGACTTTAATTCTTTTTGTCGCTCAAATGTGTTATTTTACAATCAGATCATGTTTTAACTCTTTGTATTTGTTCAAGAAAAACTTGGCTTATTTTCTAAGAAATTCACATTTTTAAAATATAGAAACATAAATTAAACCTTATATGATAGAAATATCAGAATGTTTCTACAAATTTAGCTCCTTAATTATGTTTGTGCAGCACACACACATTTCCAAATTCAGACACACAAATAAAATCTTCAAAACACCAGAGTTACCTGAAGACGGTGAAGACAAAAATAGCCGTAATAAGAGAGATGAGTGAGGTGGCGTAGCCCGCAGTGTACACCTGTTTGAAGTTTGACAAATATGTCGTCTGGAAAAGACAGAAAGGATAAACTCGGGTCAGCGTCTCTGCAGAACGAGCAGAGTTTGGTTTGTTGTTAGTGAGCTGGACTCATCATCTGAGGAGGTTTCTCTTTCATGCAGCTGAAGTGTTTCTTTGATCAGTAGATTTATTTGAGAGGAAATGAAGAATCTGAAGAATCAAAGTCAGATGAAGTGACTTTTTTAAAATCTTATAGACAAAAACAAGGAGCCAAAACCTTCACCTCTTGTTCTGCCTCATCATCTACTAGAATCTCGCAGGCCTCCTCATAGGCAGGCTGCAGCTCGGACCAGCCGTCCTCAGTGCAGTTCCTGTGAACGTGACCTGAAAAATACACAGATGGCTTTTAATGGTTTGAATAGACAACAAGTGAGACAGATCAGGGTTAAAACTAAACTTATATATAAGGTGGAAACTATAAGTAAAAAGTAAAATGACTATATATATA